CAAGCATGCTCCGCGCACTTGGTACCAGCGCATCGCGGCGTTTCTCCACCAGCTTGGGTTCCGCTCTACCCGCTCGGACGCCTCGCTCTTCGTCTACCATCAGGGCTCTGACACGGCCTACTTGCTGCTCTATGTCGACGACATTATCCTGACGGCATGTATGGCTGGTCTCCTCAGTCAGCTCACGGCTCGTCTTTGCGCTGAGTTTGCAATCAAGGACTTGGGTCCTTTGCACTACTTCCTCGGTGTCAAGGTGGTGCGCCGTCCCGATGGCTTCTTCCTTCATTAGCGGAAGTACGCTCACGAGCTCCTGGAGCGCGCCGACATGCTTAACTGCAAGCCCGCCGCTACGCCTGTTGATACAAAGGCCAAGCTTTCTACCATGGATGGTTCTCCTGCTTCGGATGCTGCTTTCTATCGGTCTATCGTTGGTGCTCTCCAGTACCTCACTCTGACTTGACCGGAGATCCAGTATGTCGTGCATGTTATATCATTTTTAGAGTATTTTGAAATATATATAGATAGGGTAAATAAAAAAAAGCAAAGATACGAAGATTGCACCTACTATCGCTCGATCTTTGTGCAAAAGAAAAAAAGAGTACAAGCGATCAATAGTGTCATAATGAACTGGCAACAAGGTTACTCAGAGTTGGGTTTGACCCATGAGCAATAGAGTGTAGGTGAGACTGATTTTGGACTCGCATTGGGAGAGACATAAACGCGCTCTCGATGGCGACATGTGAGAATGAAGAGAAAAATGGAGTCAAGGTCGTATTAAAAAAAACGATGCTAAGAGGCAGTTTCTAGTGGTTTAATAAGTAGAGATTAAAATTGTCGCAACGGGGAGTCCAGGAAGGGAGAGAACATGAAGAATGTGATACCTCTATAAACAAGAGATCCCCCATACATTAATCACTATCTTGGCCTCGGCGCTGACGTATAATCGACTGCTTGTTATCCAATGGGAGAGAAATCTGAGATGGGTTGTCGCCTTGGTCTTTCTCAGTGGGTTTGTTGCACTTTAACTGGTATTAATTTTCTCCTTATAGTTCAACACCTTATTGTTTATTAATCTCCTCTAATAGTAATAGTACTTATGGGAGAGCTCCTATTGGACGCCTGCGGACGTCAAATAGGAGAGACTTCGCCAAAAGCCAGGGCAAATGGGTCGACCCACTTTGCCCGTCACCATTTTTTAAATATTTTTTTCACAGTGGTTTTTTAGTCAGGTATTCATCCACAGAATGGGAAGTTATTTTTCGGAGCTAGATATTTAAATATATTAAAAAACAAAATAAAATTTAGAAAATTGTTAATATGTGTTTAAAAGAAATTTCAGTGTAAATAAAAAAAATCTGTGTATATTAAAAAATGTTTAGTGCATATTACAAAATGTTCAAGGTAGAATTTAAAAAGTTCATCACATGTTAATAAATCCTCAATATATATTAAAAAATGTTCATCATATATATATAAAATCAATGTGTCTTTGAAATTTTCAACATACACTAAAAAATATTCCATATGTTTGAAATATGTTCACCATATATTAATATAAAACAAACTAGAGACAATAAAATATTTTAAAAAGGAAAACACATTAAAAAAACAAAAGAAAACCAAATCTCAGTAGAGAAAAATAAAAATGAAAAATATAAAACAAAAACAAAAACCACACAAGAAAACAATCTTTCAATTAACAAAGAAAGGAAAAAACTGACAAAAACACAAAAAAATGATTTTTTTTTTACAAAGCACAGCGCACTATGTGCAGAGCCACTTGTATTTGCCAGCCACGAGCAGCACATAGGGTCTGCCGCTCTTGCGAGCTACAAAGAGCCTTCGCAGTGGACCGACCCAGCAAGATGTCTTTTTTTTTTCTGCGGGTGACCCAGCAAGATGTCGTCAGTGTAGCGGGCAAAATGCAACCACCATTGTATGGATTCATTTACGTGTGTTCTATTTTTCCTTCTTATTTTTTATTTTGTGTGTGTGTGTGTGCGCATGCGCGCGTGTGCGCATTTATTGAGGTATTCTAAAAATAATATAATTGGTAAAATATTTATATTTTGCTAATGAGTTCTCCAAAAAAAATGTTTCATCACGTATTAAAAACGTAAATCGCCTATTTAAAAAAGGTTTATCAGATATTTAAAAATGTTGTAAAATTATTATAATTGGTCATCAAGAATTTTAAAAATTATTGCCATGTATTTTTTTTACCGTTGTTTAGAAAAAATGTCTATGTCTACTAAAAAGTGTTCACCATGTATCTAGAAAATATTCACTGTGTCTTCAAAAATGTTCATCGTGTATAAAGAAACTGACAACACATTTGAAAACTAGTAATGGATATTTGAATTGTTCTTGTATTTTAAGAATGGGTTCACACATGTTTAAACACATATTTATGTAATTAAATGTATTTTTATTGCTTTTAAAAATTCTTCCTATACTTAAGTGAATTATTTCTTTATTATAGAAAAATTGTATATGCAATTTCAAAAGAGAATGGAGCATATAAGAAAATTTACATTTAAATTGTAATTAATGTTCATACATTTTAGAGAAATTCATGTACTTTTTGAAAAGGTTTATGTTTAGAGAAAGGGTATGATAAATGGGAATTAGAAATTTGAAAGAAAATTGTTGTAGTTTTAAACAATGTTATGTAGCTTATGAGTTGTGATTAGATAAAAATGGAAAAAGTCCATTTTAAACCTTAAACTCGTAGACGTTCGGCGAAACGAACCCTCAAATCAAAATCCCGGTCGATTGCACCCTGAACTATGCAATCCCGGTCTAAATCAAACCTTCGAGTCGTTTGGATGGGCGGGATTGCTGGGATTTCGCTGAGGGCACACACCTGCATCCTGCTGGGCCGGCCCGCTTTAGTTTTCCTTCGTTAAATAATAAAAATTTACAAAGGGCCCTACACCTTGCTCCTGCTGGGCCGTCCCACTTTTAGTTTTTGTTAAAAATTTGTTCAGAATGCTTTTTCCTATATTTCTTAAAACTTTTTAAAGAAATGTTCGGGATTAAAAAAATATCTCTGTTTCAAATATTGTTCACCAATTTAAAAAATATTCGTGCGTTCTAATTTCGTTTCAGAGATTCAAAAAACATTCCTTGTTCGATTTTCTGTTTTGCTGTTTCATTTTGCTTTCTCTTACCTTGTTGATTCTTTTTTTGTTCTGTTTACAAATATTTGTTCTAAACTAAAACATAGAACTACTTCAAAAAACCATTTTCTTACAAAGAAGTTCAATGAAATTTAAATATTGTTCAGTGGATATCACAAAAAAGTTCAACATGTATTAAATACTGTTCAAAGTATATCACAAAAATGTTCAATTTTTATTTAAGAATTTTTAACAATGAACTTTATTCAAATTCTTGAACCTTTTTTGCTAATTCGATGAATTTTTTCAAAATCAATGAACTTTTTTGTCGAAATTGCTGAAATTTTTTAAATTCGATGAACTTTTTTAAAATTTGATGAATTATTTTAAATTAACAAATTTTTTCCATTTTTGCGAATTCAATTGGTACTATTCTTTTTCAAAATTTTGATTTCTTTCAATTTTTTGTTTTTGTGAACAGTTTTTAAATTTATGTTTTCTTTATTCAAATAATTTATAGCTGGTTTATAATACAGCTATATGTTTACTGTTTGTACTGAAGATAGGGTCAAATAGTGTTGTTTCCTTTTATAAACAGCAACGTGAGCTTGTCATATTGGTTGACGTACGTGGCGTGCAAATTGGTGGCCGGAGTTCGATTCCCAATCCGGCCGAACGAAACTTTTTTTTTTCTGCTTCGCGTTTTTCCTGTCAGCAGCTTGCTGGGCCGGTCCGTCGCGCGTCGCGCGCGGCCGCCAGCAGCTCGAACCGGCCTAAGCGCTGAGTACTTTTTTTTGCAGGGGCCTAAGCGCTGAGTACGAGGTTCCGCTCTTACTGTGCGTACGTCGAAGTTCTGCCGCAAAGAATTTTTTTTGAGCAAGCAAAAAAATAAATGGGCTGGCCTAGTGCGGAGGACGGTGCTCCTTGGCCCACCAGCTAGACAAATCCCGGTTGAAATTTGTCAAGGTTTGATTTAGACCGGGATTGCATAGTTCAGGGTGCAATCGACCGGGATTTCGACTTGGGGGTTCGTTTCGCCGAACGTCTACGAGTTCAGGGTTTAAAATGGACTTTTTCCGATAAAAATAGAAGGAAATGATAAAAGTGATATTAAAAAGGAGAAAAAGGAATAACACATAAAAATGAACAATAACAGAAAAGAAGGAAATATAGTTTTTTTAAGAAAAGAACGTAAAAAATTTTTTTAGGGAAAAGAACGTAAAATTGAACATAGAACTAATAGAGCAGTAAGAAAACAACCCTGGAAAAAACAGACACAAAAATTAAATGGAACCGGAACAACAAAACCGTCCGTGCCCGCCCGTCAAATTGCCACATCGTGCGTGTATGAGATAAGCAAGCAAGCATCGCCAAGCAAAAATCCTGGATAAAATACCGTCATCCTTTCCAAATTTGGCGCCACATTTCTGGGGCTGCAGCCCTACGCTTCGTTCGTCTGCAACCTCTGCTCGCGTGGGTGTTTGGTAATCGCGGCAATGACTGCTGACAACGCGCGGTACGTCGATAAAATTATATTTATATTGCCATCGTCCTCGCCGTCACGTTCGTCACCATAGCTTACACGTATGGATTTTTTATTTACGTGTTGATCGAGTTGGCGCGGGAGTTCGTTGGGCTAACACACACACTAGACGAAGAGAGCTTGCCGAGGCAACAAGTTGAGTAGTTCACAAGTGCGATTGCATTCACTGGATAGAGCAATCATTGGGCTGCCACGTAGCCAGTTCCGGTCAAAAACTCTTTTCTTGCGCAGGAAAGAAGGCCACCCTTACGGACCTGTTCGCATATATATATATATATATATATATATATTCAGGCACCATTTCCACTCCAATCACATCCGGCGCCAGTAAGCTCATGGAGGACCTCGCCGCTTCGATCATGTCGCTCTCGCACAGCGCCCCGCTCTACCTCTTCTTCAACGTCCCCGCCTGGGAGGAGTACTGCCTCCACGAAGACATCAGCGGCGGCTTCGAGCTTGCCGCGGCTGACAGTAACGGCGCCGAGCTGCGCGTGTGCGCCCGCCAGCTGCTCCGCGGTGGTGCGCAGCTCCCTCTGAAGTTGCCGCCGCGGCTGCAGCATCCAGCTGACTGGTCCGCCGCGTCCTCCGCCGCCACTTCGCCGACGCTGCAGGCGCAACTGTGCATGGTGCCGTCGTGGAGCCCGTTCACGAGCAGCGCGAGGCACAGGGACTTCGACCCGTTCGCCGCCGCGCTGGAGAAGGTACGCCGGGACGGCGCCGCGCCCCTGCCCAGCAGGCCCATCCGCCGCGCGAGGTCGCTCTCGTCGCTTCGGGGCGCCCAAACCGCCGCGACGAACCTACACAGCTCGCAGCTCTCGAAGAAGGCGAGCAGGAGGCCACCGCAGAGGAGCACGAGGAGGAGAGGCGTGAAGCGCCTGCTGTGCTGGGCTCCGATGGCAAGCTCAGCCGCCGCTCCGGCACCTGGGAAGGACGGCGTCGCGTCTTACCGGCGGCCGAGTCTTTTAGTCTGCTTTGGCTTTTAAGCGCGCGAGGTCGTCTCTTAGTCTGATTTGAATGGTGAGCTTCCTAGGAAGTGTAATGCAGTATCCGCTCGATCACTACCCCCGCAACATGACCACCTGTCACTTGGACGACACCATCACAACGTCGACTTCACAGGTATGAATGGAAAATGAATGCAAAGACCTTCGGAACACGTTAGAATACGGACTACCAAGACCTCCGATCCTTACCGTGGCCATCCCTATGATCACGATTTATGAGATTTTGCAAGTCCACGCATAAAATATAGCATGTACAAAGTACATGGGCGTTATCACTTAAATTTCTAGAATTTTCATCATAAAAAAAACTACGTCGCAACTACATGAGGGCACCTACACTCTCTCATGAGCAAAAAAAAAAAGATGTGTTTTCTTCCGAGTAAAACATCACCATCTACGTGGTCCTTGATACTTTGATAGGGACCGGCCAATGGCCATTACCTATCTCTTATACTCCTACTAGTAGTAGTTAACTAAAGGCAAGAGAAGACACTCGGATTAAAGCGTAAAACATGGCAAAAACGGGGAGGCGAGCCGGGGGGTAAAAGGTCAGAGACCACGGCTGGACGTTTGTCAGTTAACGAGCTTCGCACTAGCTAGTTACTTTTATTTGCTTTATTTACTGGGAAATTGAAACTAAGCAGCTCAACTACGCTTGTACGTACAAACTAGAGAAAGGGACGGACTAAAACGACCTTCTTTGATTCTTACCTTTGCCCATAAAAAACGGACGGACTTGTTTTGAGCTTTGGGTTCTGATGTATCGCACAAAGGTCCAGAGTTATGTTTTCTTGATGTATGCATTTTATGATGTGCACCGGATCTTTTTTGCCCCTAAGTAAATCATTTGTAGGTTGTAAATGAAAGTAGTTTAGTTTTAAGCCCAAGTCCAATGACCTCGATCTGTAAATTGAGCATGAGAGCAGTGCTTGGTTAATTGAAGAAAAACCAAGTGAAACATAAGATTACAACTGTTCAAATTCGGCTGCCGTGAAGCATGACAACCCTAACTGAGCGCTTGCAAACACATAGTAACTGATAAGACAAGTGTCACTATGAATCACATACCATTGTTGATCTAGTGGCTGACACCAACTCCATCGCAAGCGACCACTCGCGGAGTGATCATCACAATGTGGCATGAGTCTCACTCTGGCCCATGCCAATAGTTGATTAAACGCGCGCCAGCGACTAGGCAATTTTGATTTGAATGGTGAGCTTCACACGCAGCATTCGGCGGACAAGTACCTTTGAATCATGTATGCCCATGATCTTGCCGACGACATCGTAACTTCGATTTCACAGCTACGAATGAAAAATGAACGTGGAGACCTCTTGGACACGTAAGAACACGAACTACCAAAGACCTTGCATCACTATGATCATAATTTTATGAGAATTTTCAATTCCACACATAAAACATAGCATTTATAAAGTACATGATCGTTGTCACTTAAATTTCTAGAATTGCTGCCGGTGGCCAGTTGAAAATTTGATGTATGGGAGGGAAAGAAGCAGCCCATTGATGAGTGGGTCCCATGTGACAGGAAAGATTCTAGAGGTTCCTATTACAAAAAATCATTTCAAGATTTTTGTAGTTACATATATTTAATTATATTGAAGTTGTTTTCTAGGCTTTTTTTTCTTCAGTTTTATAATAAACCATCAGGACTCATTTGGTAGGAGTGGATCGGAGGGGATTTGAGCGGAATTTCCTCGCGTGGCCCGGAAACCTCGCGAAACCACGAGGGCTCATTTGATACGCCGGGTTTCGACGGCCCAATCCCTCGAATCCCCCTCAGATCCCTCGTTTCCACGTGGTTCAGAGCCCTCGAGGGGGGACTCGGGGATTTGGAGGAGACGAGCCTGCCCGCCGCCCGCTCAACGTGCTGCCGCCCGACTCCTCCTCAGGACGCCGCCGCCCGACGCCTCGACGCCGGCGTACCTCCTCCTTCATACTGGCCTTCGCCCCGACGGTATGTCCTCGCCGCCCCTCCCCTCCTTTCACGGAGGTAAGTCATCGCCATGGCTGCCACCTCCCGTGCACCCTCCATTCGCCTTGTCCTACGGGCGAGCTCGCCAAGAACGCCGTCTCCCTCCGACCGTCTCTTCTTGCCCCTCGTCGACCCTACCCCAACCTGGCGAGATTGCAATAAATTAGTGATGGTGATGTTCTAATGGATCTAGGAGGATAAATTGGCAGATTGTAGTACTGGATCAGCAGATTGTAGTGCTGGATAAATCAGCAGATTGTAGTGCTGGTTCAGTAAACTAGCAGATGGTGATGGTATGATGGATAAATTAGCAGATTCTGGTACTACTAAGCATCAGCACAGCAAAGCAACGTAGTGGTCTTTTTTTTACATGGATGGTGAATAATCTGTAACTACTAGTTCAAAGCAACGTAGTGGTCTGATGGATTTTTGGTCTTGTTTACATATTTAGTTTCCAACATAATGGTCGCTTAATCTGTTTCATGCATGTATATATCATGCTGAATTCTTACCATGATCATCCCTGCTTATTTTTGTTGATTATCTCTGTTTATTTTAGTAAATCTCATGATTTATGTCTGTATATAACAAATGATTTTTAGTAAATATGCACACCACTACAGCTACTGCCAGTGGCGGAGCT